CCGGGGAAGGGGGGGGGGGGGGGGGGGGCGGAAGGAAAAAATATGATAGCTCATCAGAGACTAGTTTTTACTTGTTTGGGCGAAAAAGTAGGATAAACTGGAGTGCAATTTTTGGGTTGTAGTTCATTTATTATTTGATGCAATGGTAACAAACAGAAAGAAATCATGTTTCTCCATAGAAGAGCAATAAAATAATATCCTGAATCCACAGACAAACCTTTGAATCAACAAAAAAGAGTAAAAGCACACCACCTTGCAATATTATGGATTAATTGGTCAAGGCTACTCAATACTCCTAGAAAATTGATACAATTGGCAAATACTGTGACGTCCATTGTACTTATATCTCAACTGCAAGGATAAATAATTTTCTTGTGTGGAATAATCGTTCCTTATGATTACACACATGAGATTAAGTGTAATTTCAATTTCGTGTGAACAAACTATAGCATAATCTAACAAAATTACCTATTTCTCAAATTAATTTACCAATTAGCAATTGAGGACCCCTTAACAAGAACAACCCATAAAACCATGATGATTGTTGTAATGAATTAGTCAACTTTATTGATTAACACCCATCATTCATGGAGTGTATCAAACCATTGTGAGTGTAATGATAGATCAAACAATCACAATATCAAAAATAGTGTGCGTGTGTACTACAAATCACAAATGTGTATAATAAACCATAAAGAATACATGAGATTTGTTGACGCAGAAACCATTCTTGGAAAAAAATTTAGAGAACCATTCGATATTCTTCAAAGCTTAATCTACTATCCCACAATCAATATACAAGTACTCGAGTCTTATATCTCAACTAATACTATGGTTAGACGTTCATTTTCTTCAATAGATGTCTCCACTAGATACACCCACTGATGTCGTGTATAGCTTTATTCAAACTCCCCACCAAACAGTTCGCTTAGGTCTCGAGCACAACTAGGACGCACCTAAGAATCTCGGTATGCACACTATTCTAATGGGTTTAGTAGAACCAAACAAGCTCTTCTTATCTAAGGCGTGAGGTTGGATATAAATCACAAGATGGGCTTACCTTTTAGATTTATGGATGTCAAGTTGCTCAATAATCTTTGAAGGTTTAGAGGTAAGAAATAAAGTCACAAGAAAGATGCCCCAGTTTTTGAAGCCTCCCTCCATTTATAGACTCGAAATAAGGTTTGTCTTAAGGACCAAGAAAACATAAATTTGTTAATGACCACTGGAGCAGTGGGAGGGCGATAGCTGCTGGAATAAAAAAGAAATTCAACCCAAAACAGTAAAAAAATTCAACCCTTTGGCAATTTCAAATCAAAAAGCTGTGCAGTGTAGGGTTTCTTAATTTCATATCAGACGAGGCATTTCAAATTTGTTTTCAAATTATGCCTTACATTATTTATGACTATTTACCATGATTTAAATCATATGATTGGGATTTGAACTTAGGGTGGAAATTACGAATCTGATTAGGCTTTTGAGTACGATAACGCATAGTCGTTCGAAATGATTGATTTGTCAGAATGAAATGAGATACTAGAATCCTTTTAAATTAAATGTAAGTGCACACATGTCGAGTAGAAAAATAATTTATGTTCCAATTCGAGGTCGCAGAGGGAACTCATTGAGTTCGTAAATGCCTGGGTGGATTAGTTGGTCTTTGAACTTGGGTATAAAACTTCGACTAGGAAGTGTTTTTTTGTCGGGGTATAAGTCCCTCAAAATGTTGGATCGTATGTTCGTATGGATCTTGACTGGTCTATTAGGATGAATGCTCGCCAGTGTAGCATTGTACATGATATTTCTAAACTCTCTCTTTTACTATTTAGTTTTTATTTAAGTGATTCTGTTTACATGAAATGACATTTTTACCTATATGTGTATATCAAATGCTTGATTTTCTTTTGCCTAATCATGCTAAATTATGTATTTTCAAACTCGTTTGCTTGAAAATTGAGTTACTCTACTGAGCTATTGATTCTCACCCTATAATATTTCCCTTTTTTCAGGTTAGTAGGTGATAAGAAAGTTCGTGATTGTTTGAACTGCTGATTTTCCCTAAGTTATTATCGACGAGCTAAACATGTGTTATGTTATAAGTATCAAGTTTTATGACTATTTGTAGTCAGAGGTCATAACTGAATAGTGTATTACATTTGAGGCATGTAAATTACAATAGATTGGATGTAAATGTTTGAAATGTATATGAAATTGGTGTCAGAGTTTATTCATTATTTGGAGACTGTATTATTTAGTAACTATGGAGACTATTAGCGCTCTAGATAATACGTGATTGGATCATGACTTTATAGTTTTGTATCAGAGCATATGTTTGACATTCAATAGAGTGTCCTATGTTTAATTACTTAAGATGACGACCTATGGGTATTGGAGGAAGTGATTTGTGGTGAACATAAATGTATCATATCAATGATTTTATATACGGTGACTTATCTATTGTTTTGTGGAATAACTTTGCTTTTGATTGGAGATGAATTTTAGGGATGATTTGTACATGGATTATTGTTATTAAGGCCACACCAATATAGTTGGTATTATATCAGAGCCGCATAGTAGAAGCATAGTGGAACATTCGATTGGAAACCTAATGAATGTGATAAAAGGATGTGTATTTACGATGATGTCAAATTAGTATACGTAAAAGCGATGAGGAATGTATAAATTTTGAAGAGGTATTTTAATATTGGTATATTCACTAATGCATTTAGTAAGGTGTAAGAGTCAAATTTCGAGGACTAAATTTCTTTTAAAGTGGGTAGAGGAAGGCCTCTCGTCTCTCACCATCCATCCAGAAGGTTTGAGGAGTTGCTGAAAACCTCAGCCAAGCCTCTAGATGAGATAGAACTATC